AAGTAAAACAACTTAAAGGTAACAAAGTCAACAATGGCCTATATCTCTAATATCAAAAAAACACGGTGTATCTTTAATTTAGATTGTTTTTTTGGCTTATTTCCTTATTTTTCCCTAATAATTAGAGGAAAGATGAACATTCAAAATATTGCTGTTTTTTTCATCATTGTTAATTTTTAACCAGGGTCTACCGGACCCAACCCCACTAAGGTCAAAAGCTAGTTGGTCCTTTCTTCGGAGAGGAAATATAATGGTAACGACAAGTAAATTAGTACTTTATGTTCTATTTAATTTCAACAAATCTAACAAAAAAGCATTAACGATTGTTAATCTATTAACCAATCCACGTCAGTTACCACCTGAGAATGTGTGTATTTTCGCACATGCTAAGCATTACCACTACCGAGTACTACTAACTTACTAAAAGTCTAAAAAAAAAAAAAGCAGTGATGTATTTTTTTGTTTTCCCTTACACGGTACACCTCATGCCGACAAACGTCACTTTACATTAACATGACGTCATGTATCTGGCTGTGGGCAAATCAAGCTGGGCCTACTTCGTATTGGGCCCATAATAATATTATATTTACAACATAGTTTTATTATGTTCGATTGGGATTCATTTTTAACAAATTATATAACTTTGGCTTAATAAATTAAGATAAATTTTGAAAAGGGGTTATTTGAATTCAAATTTTCTTAAACAAACTGATTCACTGTATACATCCCGTCGTTTAAATTCTTTATTAGAATCTTGATATGTTATTTTAATTTGACCGTCAAAAATAGTTTTCGTTCAACTATAAATGGTATTAGTTTTTTTTTTTTTTTAATTCCAGTTTGGTGAGTATTTAGTACCTAATCATGGATTTATCTAGCACATAATTGGCGAGTATTTAGTACCTAATCATGAATTTATCTATACTCTTTTTTGTGCTAAATACTCTTTTTGTCTTGTTTTTACTTGCTTTTCAACACATTCTTTTCTTTTGCTTTAATTTCTTTATCATTTGTTCTTCTTCACGCTTCGTTTATTTATTTGTGTCTAGTGAATATTATCTAAAGAACAAAAGGGTTTGCTAAGGGGAAA